AACGGAGCTCAGTCCGGATCAATGGCAGGCGTTATTTACCGGTTCAAGGCTCTGATAACAAACTCAAGCAGGCTTGCAACCTGATGTACGTACAGGACGTGTATATCGATGGCCTAACAACCGGGGTGATGATATCTCTGCCACTAAAGCTCATAACGACGCAGTGGTTTGACTTGAGCACGAAACTGTGCAGAAAGGCTGCTTTGGGCGANATACGACCAGCTCTATCCTCATGTGAGTCACGCCAGTAAAACATTGCAAGAGGCTGCACGAGCTCCACGATGCTAATGAGGTTCGCAGACCCCATCCCCGTTCTATCCTTCGAATGGATCTATCGATWTCTTATAGGCTGGTCTCGACTATCCTGTTACGCACAATTGAAGATGTAAAGAAAATTTCTTCTTTTTGAGGAATAATTATGTAGTCTAAGCGCCYGAGGGAGGAGATCAAGGAAWACTCTTGCGGTATACTAGAGAAAGCAAAGCCGATATACATCAATCAAGACGGTCGTGGCATCATTTTCACGTGTTTCAATTCGTTTTCTAAACCTGCTTGGTCAACCCTAGATAAGAGATAGTAAATCATGTCTGTCAAAGTCTGAGGTGTGAGCAAAATYAGGGCTTCTCTTCCATTTCCTGGTGACTGCGCCTTCAGGCGGTCGATGAAATTCACATCTTGCTTAGTTTTGCCGAGCTCGTAATCGTTTCTTAGCGGACAATACGCCACGCAGTGTGGACGTTGCATTATCCTGCATCCATAAATTATCATTAGTGAAACAAACTTAGGACGTGTAATCATTCACATGGCTCTAGTTGGGAGTACTAATCGGTCTTTAGGGCCTTCACGTCCGGGCCTACGGCAGGGTTGTGAAAAGATTAAGGGGCGGCCCCATAACAAATGACTTGGTCATACGAYAGCCTTTCAGAGACTGCTCATGGAATTTCGAAACTAAACCTGCGTTCYCTGGAACATACTTTAAAAGATGTKCAGTACACAGAGATCGAGTCTCAGCCCGCTCCAATGCCCTCATCAGACCTTGCTCTCCTCGGTTCAGATCCCCTTTACAAGACTGACACTTTCCCTTCTGTGACAGTCCCTGCGGAGCGTCGGTTCTCGAAACATCGGTGCCAGGCGTTTTCTCACTATGGAAGATAAAAACGACAGTGGAAGCCCAACTTGGCAGGAGCAGTGGGTCGAATGGACCA